GAAATGTACAATGTTAATTAATTACAATAAATAGATGAATTAGGAAAAGAAACAAAAAGTTCTAGTTCCGAAAAAACAAACAAACAAAAACACAATATTCCAGAATTACTTAAAATCAATAACAAAATCGAGCAATAATTCGTTTTAACCATATCTCTTTAATTAATTAACTCGTTTAAGATTAGAGAAGGGCAGAAAATTAGTGGTTAGACCGCGAGGTTACTTACCATGTGGTTTGCTAATTTACAAAATCTTCCACAATATTATTATCTGACGTCACCGCTAGGGAAAGCAGGTGCCAATTCTATATACAAATACATACATTCTCAAAATCAACGTGCTTTAGATAGAATTTAGAAGGTGAGTTGGTGTTTTATTAGAACCAAAATTTTATAGTTGAACTAAACGATAAAAGGATTAATAAATGAACTATAAACAAAACCTTAACAAAGTAAAAGTAGAATTCGCTGTCTCTCATATTATTTCACGAAGTTAGTGTAGTTCCTTTTATTTCATATTCAAGATCTTTAGAAATAGAACTTGGAAGTTGTAAAGGTTCAGGATATAATTTAGTTATTTACAAACGAAAATATTCGGGTGATATATGATAAGAAATAAGATAGGTAAGTCCGGTGTCATTGTTTAATGAAATTAATGGTTAGATTAAATTGCATAGGTGATTACGCTATTTTATAAATGATGAGTTAAATTTAAGTATTATGACGGTACCTAGATTTACTTTTTTAAGTTTTATTTGTAACGTTAGGATTAAGGTTAAGCCGTAAAACTGGTACTGGTAATACTTAACCCTAATTAGGCTACTAGTACTAGTAGTGTATGTGTTATTTAGTTGTATGGTTTGACTTTAAGTTAAACATATTAATATAATTATAAATTAGAATTCAGATAACATAAGATGTATTATTATTGTAATTTCATGTATTATACAACTCATTGTTTATATCTGTATCTTGTAATTAAACTATAAAGTAATAAGATACTTTGCATTTTTATTTCATAAAGTAAATATTGATCTTGATGATACAAAGTATGTGTGCTCTTTAAATCACATAATCCTGTAGCTCTAATGTTCTTAGGCTGTCTGGAGATAATTCTTTGTTACTCGGGAAGGAATCCCCCCCCCCCCCAAATAAAGAACCAGACCAGTTGTTTAAGTGCAGTCAGTATTGGAAAGTGTGCTAGCATTATCTACGTAGGGATGGCATGGATGCTCATATTGAAACAATACAAAGGTCATCTAGATTTTCTTCTCTACAGGTCATCAGAAGCTAGAGATGAAGAGCTACCTGGCATAGTCATTCTATCTCCGATATATATGCCACTTGTCAGCTATCCAGAGCATTCCAAAGTTGAAAACTGGTGAATGGCCAAACTGAGATTTCTTATTTTAATTGTTCCTCATCATCTTTCTTCAATGGGCCTAATGCCTACCTAGTTCCTATAGTAACTATAATTTTATCATCATTTGAAGGAGCTAAACAGTCTTCAGGATCTTTGACTACATATTTTATTATTATTCTATGCAAAATTTATAAAGCTTTAGAATACTGGCAAAACAAATAGAACCAGAATTTCCAGTTGTAAAATGTTGCTCTATTGTAAGAGTAATTAAAGTGGTTTTCTAAAGTTAACTAAAGGAATGGTATAATGATGAAAGGTGAGAGTCTATTTAAACACCAAGCTTTTGATAGATAAAGTGGTGAAGCTGATAATGTAAGGATTTTATTCTCCAGGTAAAGTCGAGATAGCTTAGTCTGCTATGTGATCATTAGCCGGATCAAGTGATATGTCCACTTCCATTCCTATCTTTTTTATTCCTTTTTTTAAAGTTCACTAGCCAGCCCTACACATTTTTTTTTTATTTAGCAATAAATGTTTTCCTAATACTTGTCAGTAATATTGAATGTTGAGCCATTCCTTTTATTTTCTGTTTAGTGAATTAAAAACCTTAATTTTGCATTACTTAGGCAACATACATTTGAATATAATTATTGTTTTAAACAAAATTAAATAATAACTGCCAAATTTTTTGTACAAGCCAAAAATTGCAAATAATAAACCTTGAGACAAACATGCCTGATTGTTATATGGCAGATGAATTGAGTTTTTTAATCAAATTTGTATGTTCTCATTCAAAACAAAATGTCACTAACAGATGTAATTGGGGGTAAAGATATTAGTCCCTTTGAGTTGGGCCACCCCATAGAATGCTCAGTACATATGTTTGACAAGTTTGGTTAATGTTAGTTATTCTATCAAAAAAACAATTTTCTTCCTTTTGGTCATGACCATAGTCCCCTTAGGATAATACCTATGTGAGCTATTTTGAGAATGTTTTGTTTGATTTAATTCAGTCAGATTATGAAAAAAGGCATGATCCGCTTCTTTCTCATGGAGAAGCAGTCCTTGTTTAATACTCAATTGAAGACTTTGAGTTTGTGTATGATTAGGATTGATCAAAAAATGTAAGAGAAGTTTGCCAAAAAAAATATGAACATTGGCAATTAAATAGTATGAGTTGTGCAAATCCATAATGGTGCAGTGTTATTTGTACTTACCATACAACCACATAACAAACTTTATCAAAAGCTAATAAACATACCTGTATGCATATCAACCAAGTGCTGGACATATGTGCCTCAGTTGAAGCAAAGTTGATACTATAAGTATAATCATGTGACTTGACTGCTGGATATATAAACATATATTTCTAATTAGGCTTATAATTTGCAATTAAAGATTTTTATCTTTGTCTTTTTTATGATTATGCAAAACATTTAATATATTACTCTCCGATTACAAAAATGGTAATTAAACCTAAAACAAAGACACTTTTAAGATTGTATTCAACACATTTTAAACTAGTGTTACAACCATTGATCAACTTTCAATTGTTGCTTTTGCCATTTCCTCTATTTTAAATATTGCATATATTCTTTTTTCCATTTTTCACATCTTTTAACTTAATCAAACATTAGTACATGCAGAAGGCTAACCATTATTGTACTGTGCCTTTGATGAGGTAGCATCTGTCAAGTAGGAAGTGAGGCAACAATATTTATTTTAACATAAATGTTTACGTATATTTTGTCATTGCAAACTCTCCAATACTACTGCTTCTTTTGTACACTTGTAAGAATTGAAGAAATAATTACAATTTGGAAAAAACAGTAACTTTCACAATTATGTAATGGATAAATAATGGGATAATTCATATTTTTCATATTGTTATAAGTACATATTTTAAAAACATTGTATTACTTTATCCACTGTTAATAAGCAGAAAACAAAATCATCAATCTTCTCAAACCTGTGGGTAAAATGATAAAGTTGTGTTTTTTTGCAATACAATGTGATCTGCTTTCTTTTATCTGATTAGTGATATTTAATCACTTTGTACTTGTTTGACAGTTTTTCAAAGGTAGCCATTTAATTTTTTTTTATGGATTTCCAAAATGAATAAAGAAAGCTCAGGTTTGAATAATGAAAAGCTAGAGAAAATCCTATCTTCAGGCGCAATAATTTAAGAGTTGTTATTTTGTTCATCTTAAACTGTTGTTCATGAAAATGTATTGCACATGCAAGATAGTTAAGAACTTGTAACAACCTGAAATTAATATGTTTAATAGTATTACATTGGTTTCTTCCTACAAATGTCCACAAATTCTGTTGATGAAAATAAGCATATTACTTCATGACATTTTCAAATAACGCATTTTTATGGGGAGCTAATAAACTTTATCATCCTAAAATTGTCAGTAATAAGATACTTAATTATACAAAAACAAGCTAAGTTAGTTGAATATTCCTTTCATTGTTGGAAATGAGATAATTTTTGAAAACGTGCAAAAATCAGTACATGATATTTGATGAACAATTGTGATGTTCATAAAAAAAAAATGAAATAGAGAAATAACAAAGCTTGCTAGTTGAATTATTTATGTTAAACATTTTCCAAACATATGGTTTAAGAATATTTCAGATTATGTTAAACAGTGTTATAGTTTCATACTTTGAGAAACTTACTCAAAATGGATGATCCAGAATATTGTAGGGGAGGGGGTTCGACTAGACCTCTACTAGCACTAGTGATAAACTTGTATTACTTTTTTTTTTATTTATAACTACACACTACTAATAATTGTTATAAAATTAATTAGGAAACCAACAAAATTGTTACGAGTAGCTCTGTTGGGCTATAATCCAATGATTTTAAAGTTTATATATTTTTTCTAGTAATGTGATTTATATGAAAATAAAGATGGTTAAGGGCAAACATTTCAAATTTTGTAATTAAAAACTAAATAGTTTTATTAGAAAAATTATAAGGTTTACACTTAAATTCACATTTTAGTATTCATAAACAGGATGCCTGTTTTAATTTTTTAAGTCCACTTGTACAGTCTTGGCACTTGCATTTTCACTTGTTTTGGATGCCAACAATATGGAAATCTCTTTCTTGTGAGTGTTATAACTTCCAAAGAATGAAAATAAATTTTGTAACAAATGTATTTTATAAGATTTGCCGGTGACTTATGAAATACTTTTTTGAAAACAAATCTATGAAATGTAGAGTGCACACACACACATTGTTAATATCTGGAAAAAGTCAGAATATAAACTGACCATGGCAATGTTTAATTGATATTCATATTGTTGTATTCATTTAGATAAAATCAGTTACTAACTATGGCTGTAACAGGATTGTTTTAAACTCCAGCTGTGTTGATTTCAGAAAAACTAAAAAAAAAAAACAATTTATAATAATTAATGGACTAATGAAATAAAACAGTGACATCTAATATTTTGTTTGCTGACCCAAGCTGTGCTGATGAGCCTTGAATAGGCAAAACTGTAGTCCACAGCAGAGGGTATGGCCAGTCAAACAATGCATTAAGCCTCTACATCACAGATTATCTTTTCATTTTCACTCCTGGTGAAAAAGAAATCTTTAATATTTATACACAGTCATTAAACAGTTGGTCCACTGTATAATATTGAATAATGAATTTTACAAAATGTTACAACGTTATTCACATACCTAAGTTAAATTAAGTTTCTATATGGACTCAAAACCCCATAGATATTAAAGAATACAGTTTTAAGTTAGAAACATAACACATTTTGTTAAATACCTAATTAGCCAGAGAATTTGCAGTGAGTGTTATTAACCAGTTGCCTTCCTTCAAGGTAGTAGTGACGATGGCAGATAGTTTTAATAGCTTTGCAGTAACAAAGACAGGTTGAGTAAATTCAGTAGTAATGGGAATTATTATCATACCCTCAAATTATGAAGCATCCCTTCCACCTGCCCATCATGTAGGTTTGTGCTTAACAACAAATAAACATAATGACATTTTTTTGAATACTTGAATATTTAAAATAATTAAAAATGGTAACTAATGAAACCCTAACTTTGATTAGTTGGTTATTTTTGTGTCACACAATTTAATCGTAATTTTAACTAATCAATTATTGGAATAATCACAAATGTTGGTAATCTGAAACACTAATTTTAGTTAGTTCGTTATTTTTGTCACATTAATTGATGAATCACAATTTTGATTAATTGATTAGTTTATAGACACTAATCAATGTAATTGCTGCTTATGGATAATTGCTTAAATTGTTAAGCTCTGGTTTGTTCATGAACTTCATCCACAATTTTGGAGCTAGCAGGCAGGCATATCTGGGGAGGTTAGGGGATGTTCTTATCTACGGGATGTCTGAAAAGTCTGTAACTATAGGTGATTTGCAGGTTTCCCTTTATTTCACATACATGATGACTGATTATGGTGCTGTCAAAGCATGAGAAGGTTGAAGTAATCTTGCTGTTATTCCAAACTTATTTTGAATTACAAGGACAACATATGGAACACATTCTGCAAAATTCATTGAAGTGCTCATTAGTGTTTGAATGGCACCAAAAATTCTACTTAGATGGGTATCCGGGTGCCTGAAAATTTCCGATCACTATCAACATAACAGTTTCTAACATGCAGAAAACAAGACAATAGGAACCATGATGCCACACAGTTTAAGTTTACTTCATGTGCAATGTTGTCCTTATTTTTCTAAAGCGTATCTAAAACTGCCGATAATATAAAGTTATGAATGTTTGGATGGACAAGTAAAGAAAACAATATATGATATAATTATAAATGAAAATGATGTTAACCCTGAACCTTTTTTGCAGCCATCATGTATACTATAGTGTAGGCCTGCAAAATATAGGATACAGTGTGTATTTTCACTATTCTACATGAGGTACTGAAACAAAAACAAACATTTGGTTTTTGACTTTTCACCAACTAGGAATGAGCATCAATTTAGTGGTCATGAAATTAATATCAAAGTAT